TTATAAAATGCTTAGCACAGGGTATGGCACATAGAAAGTAATCAATACATTTTAGCTAACGCTATCATTATTACTCAACAAGATTTCCTAATAAAACAAGATTTCCTCTAAAACACAGGGATGAGGAGGCATCTATTTGGCAAGTACTCCACTATAAAGTAAATCTAGCCAAATTTAGAGGTAAACAAATCTTAAAGTAGAGAAACACAAATATTTACAAATTCTCCTGACTTCCCCTAGAGCAAAGAAATTTTTATGAACATTTCTTTTTTGTGTGTGTGTGGTACCAAGTGACTCTTGTCAGTCTCAAGAGCCCAGAATAGAAGTTTGCACTTCCTTATATACCTCTTTTACATCTACGAAGCTTAATTCCATTCGAGTTTCCCTGGGAATACAGCAAGCAGGATTTACACAAAGTAGAGCAGCAGATGTGGGGAGAACAAAGAGTTCTGGCAGGACTTTCTGAGTCCATTAGGCTCCTTTGGTGACAGATTAAAGAGGTTGTCATGACTACTCAGGTACATTCTACAAAGAGCATAGTTACCTAGTTAACCTATAGTTTCCTAATAACACAGTTCTTAGGAAAAACTCATAGTTGCCCAATTCTATATGGATGGCTGGTCTCCTCTCTTAACGTCAGACAATAAGTTAATTATGTAGAGGGCATTGTATTGTACTTATTATTTGTAGTCACATCTACAAATATTTTTGTAGGTCAATCATGAAGTAGGAATAGTTCAGTAAGCTTAGTAAATGATTACAGAATATACTTAAAATGGTAAATTTATTTTTTTAATCCTTTGCTGTCTACAGCACAAGTAAATGGAACAAGAGTAAAGTGATATAGATTTTTTTAAAGTACAAATGACCTATTCAATTTTGTAGTGTTCATGGATCTAAACTTCATCTTGGCCAAAAGGCCAAGAAGCAATGAATTTATGCTTCTAGACAGCCATATAAAATACAGCTGATGGTGTCGCCATCATCAGGTCACCCAAGTCAGAAGCTTGGGAATCACTCAGGTCATCCTCAGAATCAAATCCATCACCAACAGATTCTATCTGCTAAACATCTCTCTAATCAGTGGTCTTCTCTTTATTTCTACTGATTGCTCCAGATTTGCCTCTGTGATTATTTTCCCATGCTGCTTTTGAAACTCAACTCCGGTCTTGAACTCCTCAGATCCACCCTCCATAGAGGATTGGGCCCCAAATTAAAATCTGATAATATTACTACTTGCTTATAACCTTCCAATGCCTCCCTAAAACCAAAGTTCACATTCCTTACTGCACCGTGCAAGATCAAAATCTGGTATCTACATTTCTCTGTCTTCAGCCTCTTTTCCACCTAAGATAGTGAATAACTTTCAGTTCTTCGTACAGCACATTTTCCTTTCCTTACTCTTTTTTGCCAAAATAGAGACGTGCTATACAGTAGGACAGGCCCTTGCCTTGGCTCCATTTTTTGCCCCCATAGAATGTTTTGTTTTGGAAATGTAAGCTTGTGCTGCCAGGCTCCTGCCCAATGTATCAGAATGGTTTGTGGCTGTTTGAACTGTGTGACCTTTCCGGAATGTTCTGTTGAATTCTGTCCCCTCGCATGAAGGTCCTGTTAAACTCTCCCCCCTCTCAGGAATGTTCTGTAATTGCTCAATTTGTGCTCTGGGCAGAGCTCCCGCCCAATGTATCAAAATGGTTTGTGACTGTTTGAACTGGGTGACCTTTCAGGAATGTTCTGTTAAACTCTGCTCCCTCACAGGAAGGTTAAACTCCGCCCCCTCAGGGATGTTCTGTAACTCCGCCCCTCTGTTTCAGGGATGTTCTGTAACTCCGCCCCCTTACTTAAGTGAGCATTCGCACTTACCCGGTAGGTCCCTATGTAAGGAGGCTCTCATTTCCCGTAGAGATCTCAGGCGCCTCTGAGCCCACACGGGGCTCACTGGTGTAATAAAGGTTTATTTTTCCACCTCTTCAACTGACCATCAGATTCTCAAGTCTTCAAATTAGGAGAGCTATGTTCCAGAGCTGCCACACTGAGCTGTAAAGCTCAGCTGTGCCTCGAAGCTGGAGATGTGGCACTTGGCTGCAACATTGAGTTGTAACACTCAGCTGTGCCTCTGAGCTGTGGCACTTAGCTGTGACATTGAGCTATAACACTTGGCTATATCACTGAGCTGCTCTGCTCTGCCGAAACACTACAGCACATTTTCCTTTCCTTACCCTTTTTGCCAAAGTGCTCTCATCGCTTTTCTTCCCCTGCTTTTGCCCTGGCTGAAGGCTCAGAACGTGTTATGATTCAGCCTAGGAGTTACCTCCTAGACAAGGCACATGATGACCACAGCCTTCCCTCCTATTAGTGGTCTTCTAAGTTCTCCCTTGATTCTTTTGTTATATTCTTATCACAAATATTTGCTACATTTGTGTCTACATGGCTGTCTTTCTCATTGGGCCCTGGTTTCCCAGTGCAGACATACTTATGTTGGAACCCCAGCAGTGGGCACAGTGCCTGGTGCACAGCAGATGCTCAATTTCTTTTTTAATAAAAGTATAAGTGTGCTATAGAGGATAGACTTCATACACTTAGAAAATAATTATTATACTATAATATACTGAGAAATGTAGATTAATTCATTTATCTGTCACTAGTAAAAGTACTAGCCATGGTTTTACATTTTTTTCCAGGCCTTCTACTAAGAAAAAACATTTATTTATTTTCCATTCTAGAAAACAGGTGGAAAAGAAGGCTAAATGCAGCAGGGGTATGAAAATACAGAATCTGCCAAAAATATACAATCCAGGAAAAGAAGAATTTGTATAAATATTTTAATACTAAATTTATTGAGACATTATGAAAATCCTAATGTGGACAGAGCAGTCAGTTTAACTGGAGTCAATGTCTACTGTATATTAAAATATTTTTACAAGTTTTTCTTTTCCTGGAGTATGTATACAAATTTTGAAAGTTTAAAATGCACAAGCATACTATAACTTAGGGTGAGTTCAAGGTCTTCCATCCACCCAGAAAAGTGAAAAAGTTAGTAAAATGAACCGATCATCTCGTGAGTGTGTATGACAGTATTTCCAAACATTTCATATGCATTATCTCATTTACTCCTAACAAGAAGGTTCTGACCTATTGACTTCTGTATTACTCCCATGTAGCATACGGTCATCACACAGTAGCATAGAGAAGTAAAATATCACCTCCAAGGACACATAGTAAATATGATTAGTATCTGAACCATCAGAGACTGTAATACTTCTTCCCCATGGGTATGGCATTAACTACAATTGACACTAATGGTCTTTAACTTATATAAAGCATTGATATAAGTATTTAATACATAATTTCTTTTTATATGAAAGGACATGTTAACACCTTAATAGGTACTATTATAGTACCTGTTTATAAAGTACTGAAACGGAAGTGCACAACAAATAAGCATCCTACCTAATATCAATGTGTTAGCTTTTGCATCACTGTATCAAATACTTCAGAAAATCAATTTATAACGAAAAAAGGTTTATCTCATTCTTTCTTAGTATAACTTCTGAGTCCTGGAAGGTATCATATTGAAAAGTAGCAAATCACTTATTTAATAAAAATGTCCTGACATTCTTTCCATCCAGGTGGTTCCTTCATATCACTGTAAGCTTATGTAGGGAGTATCCCAGGATTAAGTATGAGGATTTCTTTTATTTATGTAGTTTTTTCATAGACTGTTCGGGTTATAAATGCTCATTCTTAAATGCAGGTCTTTCCCACAGGACTCCTCTCCTATACATTGCCCTACTCTTTAGTTGTTTTGAATAGGGTCTTGCTATGTAATTCAGGCTGGCCTTGAACTCATTCTGTGTCCCAGGCTGGCCTTGAACTCTCAGTGATCCTCTTGCCTCAGTCTTGAGAGTGCTGTTATTACAGGTGAGTGCCACCACACCAGCAATGCTCTGCTCTTCTTCCTCATTTCTTAATGTCAACATGTCAAAAATTAATATAAATTCCTTCTGATCTTCATACCCAAACTTGCTCCTCTCACGGTCTTGCCCTTTTTAGTTAATGGGAACCTCATCTTCCCAAGATTGTAATATGAAAACCTTGGACTTAGGCTCAACTTCTCTTTCTCTCAGATCTCACATTAATCTATAGCTAAATCTCATTATATCTAATTTCCAGAGTCCAATCCCATTTCATCCATTCCACTGTCACTCTTCTGATCCAAGCCCAATCACCTCGCCTGGATTATTGCTGTTGCCTTCCAACTTCTCTTCTTTTGCTTGCACGGTGCTATTTCTTTCCTCCTTGGCTGCAGCCACAATAATGACTTTCAAGCGTTTATTCCCCTATTTTCTCTCTTGCAACATATTCTCCCCCTAGACATACATACACAATGTCACCGACTCTCATCATCATGTCTTGAACACAAATGTCACTTCTCTGAAACCTTCCTGACCACTCTTAAAAATAATGGCCTTTCCTCCTCCCATTTTATTTTTCTCCAAGGCTCCTATCTGATCATACTAAGATTTTCTTCATTTACCTTATTATCTGTTCTCTCTCAACTTCTATCAACCCAAATGACAATCAGAGAGAAAGAAAGTGTCCAAAGAATATTAGGAGTGAAAAAGCATTGCAACGGGAATATATACACCATAGTAAAGTATGGGTATATTCAAGAAAGGAGAGGAAAGATGAGCTTTTAAGCAAAAAGGAAGACATTTATGTAAACCACTTGGATATAAAATTCACTGGCCCTTGAGAAGTAAGGAAAGAGTTGGTATCAGCTTGTATGAATTATTCTGTTGAGAACATCTGGTTTGAATGTTGTAGTCATGAACGACGTTAAAGATAAGCATTACAGCACTGGGGATATAGCTCAGTGGTAGCGCTGCTTACCTAGCATGCACAAGCCCTGGATTCAAACCCCAGTATCACCAAAAAAATTAAAAATAAAAGATAAAATTTGTTACAGAAATCGGTTCATATCTGTAAAGAGAGCTCTCGTTTGGACCTTGGAACGCGTATTTAAACAAACCTGAGCCCTCTCCCTTCATTTCTTCCCAGCTCTAATTTCATGTGCGCCTGACAAGAATGTTTCATCTTGGTATCACCAGGACAAAAACATAGGCAACGATGTAAGCCTGGAGTCAGCACGCGCACCGAACCCCAGACTAACCTAAATAAGCCTCATTAGCATATATTTAAAGTGTGGTTTGCCCCTATGCCCCTTTGTATAGGACCACAATCATGCTCATTAGGGCCAAGACCATATAAGACCGGTAAAGACCCACTGCCGGTTGGCGGCGGGGGGGAGCCACAGCCCTTGACGTGGTCTCCAAGGTCCGAAAAGCCAAGCCCAGTCCTGGGGGCTGCAGCCTCCTTCAGGCCCTGCTCCTTCTCCCTGTCCGAGAGGACCTGCGATCTCTCAGGGCCTCCGTTTTCACCCGGGTCCCCGCTTATCTCCCAATACATTTGCTTGCTAAAACTGCTCTTTGTTCATGCTGTGCTCTTTCCACTGGGCGGGGAGGGGCCTCCTTGTAATTCAGGGAAGACCCAACAACCAAGACTCCTTTCATAACTGAGACCAACCTCTGGTAACAGGATCTGACAGGACACGTGTTCCACGACCTGCCGGACAACGCTCAGAGTCACTGAGGGGCGAGTGACTCCTCTGCCTTCCTGTTGGGCCGATCCAGCTTTCCTGTCTTGTGAGTCAGCCGCACCAGCTCCAGCTATGGTCTTAAGCAACAGCGAGGGCTGCCTGACTGGCATCGGGCAACGCTGAGGTGGGCGAGAAAAACTGATAGGCTTGGCGTGCAAGAACATGGGGCATTCAGGGTATGCTAGGTGCACTGCGGGCGTGTAGGACAGCAGGGCATGGGAGCGGTTCCTGGGGTTCACAAAATGGCGCCGAGGCACTCTGTGAAGAAAGCTTGGACTATGGAGCATACCAGTAATAAGGTGTCGGCAGGAGCGCAGGGCCTCCGGGAGCACGGAGCCAGCCGAAAGCACAGAGCCCTCTAGAGCCAGTTCCCAAGAGCCACTGGCAGGTGAGGGAGACCGCAGGGCCTGCTGGGAGCGGCGACGTGGCTATTTAGTCAGGCCGCGGGGAGCCCAGGGGCTGCTGGGAGCGATTGCTGCCCTGGCGAGGAAGGCGCTGAGGAGCTGCCAGAGCCACCATCTCGGTCCTAAAGAGGTAGCAGCTGCTTAAGCGAGTGAGGCTGCTGTGGGCTTTGCTGACCACTCTGCCCTTACCGTGTCTCATGGGTAGGCCTGGTACATCCGTGCCTCGGGAAGCGGTGGCTTTGGAGCTTTTTTTCTTTCTGTCAGGAAACAGTCCGGGTAGAGAAGAGTAGGGAGGGAAAAGATCCTTTGTTGAATTCTTAGTCGGTGATTGCTTTTCTTCTTTGAGAAAATTTGTTGATAATTACAAGTTTAAAGTACTAGAGTCCAAGTTACCTTCCACAGATGTATTTTGCGTGTTGGAGTACTTGAGCTTCAATACATTGCTTTACATTTATACAGTATTCCAATTTTCTGTAATACATAATATAAAATTTAAAGATGCCCCATGTGAATTACCAGCTATAAAACGTGCCCAAAATAAAAGGGTTTTTTGTTTGTTTGTTTTGAGACGGAGCTTCACTACGTAGTTCAGGCTGGCCTCGAACTTGCAGTGATCCTCCTGCCTCAGCCTCCCAAGTGCTGGGATTACAGGCAAATAAAAGTTTTAAAAGCCAGATAACTTAGTGGAAAACAACTTAGAAATATTAATAAGCATAGCAATTTAGGTATCTCAGTAAACATTTTGTTTCATGAAGAATGAAAAATAATATATTCCTCAACCTTGAACTGCTTTATAGAAATAATTTGAAATAACAGATAATTTGGCTATTTTGATTTTTAAATTGTATTGTCAGAGGAAATATTTTGTTTTCCTGAAAACAAAAGGAAACTTAAGCTGTAAAAGGAATTTATTAAGTAAACATAATATGGTAAAAACATAGGAAGAACATAGAACAGACTAGGCATTTAATAAATTAGCTGGTGTTTTGTATTATTTGTCTTTATTTATTTACCCTCCCCTACCAGGATCGAACTCAGGACCTTGTGTGGCACCACTGACCTAAATCCCCGCCCCTATTTGTCTTTAAATTACTTAATTTGTGTTAAACAATTGATTAAAACTATCTATTGGGCTGATGAGAATGTTCTAAAATTTATTGCATTGATAGTTGCACAAGTCTGTGAATATAATAAAAAACATTAAAGTGCACACTACTAGTGGGTAAATTGTGTGTTAGATTAACCTTAGCTTAATAAAACTTGAACCGAAAAATTCTAGAACATCATTAGAAAACCTTAAAGATAGATTGCCAGTTTGTTCACTAATTTATTATTCTAACACTGCATCAACTTTTTTCTTTTTCGAGACAGGGTCTCTCTAGTTCAGGCTGGCCTTGAACTAACTATGGAGCCCAGTCTGGCCTTGAACTTGCAGTGATACCCCTGCCTCAGCCTCCCAAGTGCTAGAATTACAGGCCTGTGCCACCAAGCCCAGCAGCAACTGTTATGTGTTGAGTTGGTATTGAAACTCTATTGGCAAGAAAGTTTACTAATTTCTCTTTGCTGTTTGTGTTTAAAGGTCTGATTGCTGAGACACACAGTTGACAAAATATGAATGAGTCTAGGCAACAGTCACTGTTCTTCATCACACTTCCAGATTTACATCAACTGTGTGCTGTCCCAGTAATATTAAGTAACAGGGTGGTGGATACTGAGATTAGGAGTACACAAATGAAGATGTGCAGGTAAAAAAAAAATCTTCTAGCTAAGTTTTGTAATCTTTAAAGAATCTATGCAAATTGTTTAAGCAGTATTTCCTTTAAAGCAAAATGTTCAGTTTATATATTTAAAATAATTAAATTTCTATCAGTGGATTGCATTTAAGATATTGAGATCTTAAAATACTTGAGATGGAATGTCTCACTACTGAGTTTTAATATTTGTCAATTCTTCTGGCTTTTTAAAAATTTTAAATCTTTACAGACATTCATGAATTAAATCAGGCACATAAAAATTTAAGAGATACTAATTAATACATACTAACCCACTATGGAAATCATTATGGATATTTTTCAATAAACTAAACGTAGAAATTCCATTCAAACCCAGCTATATCTCTTCTGGATATCTTCCCAAAAAGAGTAAAATACATCATGTTACAGTGATATATGTATATCCCTGTTTGTAGTAACGCAACTCACAATAGCTAAATCTTAGAATGTCCATCAACAGATAAATGGATAAAGAAAATGTAGACATACATAGTGGAGTACTGCTCAGCCATAAATGAACACACCTTCAGACCATAATGCAAAGTAAAATAAATCAGACACAGGTTGAATATCACATGGATTCTCAAAATGTAAATTAAGGAGCAAAATAAAAGATGATGGGAAACAAGGAGGTAAGACCTTTTGCATTTGGGAAGGGGATCTAGGGATGGAGGAAGAGAGGAAGAAGGGGAAGTAAAAAAGGACTAAGATGTAATATGTATATGTACCAACTCCCCATGGTGAATGTATTCATTATGTATTATAAACATGTAGTAATAAAAGTAAATGTTTACTATCTACTTTTTGCATAACACTTAAAGATATTCTCAATGGATTGGTATAATTTCTCAATTTTCAGAGTAATGTAAGACACTGAAAAATATTTCTCCAAGAATTACTTTGACATATCTGACCCAAGATAGTTTTTTTAACTGGTTTAGTTGAAGCATAAAGTATAATTCTGTGATTACTGAGGAATCACTGTATGTTCATTCCTGAATTTTTTTTTTTTTTGCCCTGGTATTGATTTTTTTGTTTTGTTTTGATACTGGGGATGGAACCCAAGGCCTGGGCATGGAAGCACTGCTGAGCTACATCCCCACCTCATTCCTTAAATTATTTGAGCTACGTGAAGCACTCATACAGTGTATGACAAGATTGTATCTTTAAGTGAATTTTTTAAAGAACAAATGCCTGTAGGATGCTAGGGATAAGAAATGAGGAAGGCTCTCTTAGGGTGTCCTCCATTTTCCTCGTATTTGTCAGATGTTCTCACCATTGCATATTTCCCCACCCAAGTCCATCAAGGAGCCTGCATTCTTCCTGCTTAGGTATAATATAGTGTCAACCATTGAGGATCTACCTGGGATCTTTTGGGGAAATACTGAAATATGTAAACAAGTGAGATTTTCTTCTGTTTGTCCTTGAATTGAAGGCAACTATGCTCATAGAGTAGGGCTGTCTTAACCCACGGTGCTAATAACAGCTGGCCCAGAACAGAAAGCAGAGATGAGGCTGTGTCAGATAAGGGCAACATATATGGGTTACAACAAATATGAAGCCACTGGAAACAGGTTGGCTCATCTTGCATTTTGATGTAACTCCATATGCAAAACTCATGGTCATCTAAATTTTTTCTTTCATGATAAGTAATACTGAGAATTTTCAAATTTCCAACTGTATCCCTTTTTTTTTTTGAGACAGGGTCTTACTGTGTGCCAGGGTCTCACTGTGCAGTTCAGGCTGGTCTTGAACTCACTATGTTGCCCATGCTGGCCTCAAACTTGCAGTGATCTTCCTGCCTCAGCCTCCCAAGTGCTGGGATTATAGGCATGTGCCACGATGCCCGCCTTCCATTTTGTTTTTCCTTATTTTTACCTTGGCTTTTGAAACAAAATTATTGCTAATAATTTGCATTATTATGATTCTGTCATAAGTTCACTTAGCTGTTGAAAGCTAAACTACTAGAAAACTACTACTCACTTCTTTCTGGCTTGGAAAGAATTTCCTTCTTGAAGGAAAAGACTCTAGTTAATGGGTGGAATTTTGAATCAATAACCACTCTTGCTTCCAGTGCCACCTCCCATAACTGTAAAAAAAAAAAGTGGATAAGATTTAAAAGAGGTGAATTCCTCACAGTATTTAGATTTTTTTCTAGTCTATACTTGCAACAGAAACGGAGTTTTAAGGAATTTAGATTCACAGATGAAAAAGATTGGCAAACTCAGATGCAGGGGCTGGTTGCCAGATTAATATTGGTATATAAAACTTTATAATTCTTATTGGTTGAGTCTCTACCATGTTCAAGGTACAGTATGGGGACAGATGCAGAAATTTGTAGTAGAATCCTAGCCTGATGAAATTTGAACTTTTTAACTAAGAAAATTGTCCATGTATTCCAGTAAAGTATAAGCATAGACAGTGGGCAGTCCACACTGAAAGTAATACATTTCTTCTCTACAGACAATTGCTACTTTTGCATGAAGATATTCTTATATCACCTGTCCCTGGAATATTCAACCAAATTTGGGTGGTGATGACGGTTAGTATTACTAATTATTAGGAGCAATTTTTGTTTTAGCTTTTTTTTTTGAGACAAGGTCTTACTATGTAGTTCTGGCTGATGTTGAACTCACTATGTAGCCCAGGCTGGCCTTGAACATGCAGTGATCCTTCTGCCTCAGGCTCCCAAGTGCTGAGATTACAGGCATGTACCACCACGCCCTGCTGTTGGGAGCAGTATTAATAAATGATAATTCAGATACTATAGCTGAAATTGAAGCTGGTTTATGAGGATTAATCACTCTGTTATAGTTTGATTGAGCTATTAACAGACTTAACTGTGATATGCCTGATGTTTAAATTTTAATAATTTAGGTGTCTCTGTCATAAATAGTAAGATAGGCTACTAATGACATTATTATTATTATTATTATTATTATCATTATTATTGGTGGTGGTAATACTGAGGACTGAACCATAGGCCTTCATACTGAGCTACATCCCAGCCCCCTCCCTCTTTTTTTGATGCAGGGTCTTGCTGTGCAGTTGAGCTCACTACGTATCCTAGGCTGGGCAATCCTGCTTCAGCCTCCCAAGTGCTTGGATCACAGGCATGTGCTACCACACCAGCCTTTTTTTTTTTAATTTGTTTTTGAGACAGAGTCTCCCTGTGTAGTTTGGGCTGGCCTTGAACTCACTGTATAACCCAGGCTGGCCTAGAATTCATAGCAGTCCTCCTGCCTAAGCCTTCCATGTGCTAGGATTACAGGTGTGCACCACCATGCCTACCCGTCCTCTCCCTTTTTAAATTTTTATTTAGAATCAAAGACTTGCTAAGTCTCAGAGTTGCCCAAACTGAGCTCGAACTTATTGATCCTTTTACCCTAGACTTGCAGAGTGCTGGTATTACAGGCTATGCCACTACACCTGGCTTTACAGTATAATATTTAAGAAAGCATAGGCTTAATGCTTTTTTATCATATTTTAGTCTTTAGATTTATACTTAAGGAAGAAGCTTCTCATTTCATTTCAATAAATCAACTATATTTAAAGAATTAAGATCAATATTTCTTTTAATTACAAATTTTATTTAAAGAATTTTTATACTTAGTGAAATTAGAAATATATTTCCCAATGTTGGATATAACAGAAGTGATAAGTGCCAAAAATCTTTATAAAAATTATGTCCTGAGATTTTTGTCAAAATATCTTTCTGAACTAGGGCTAGAGGTCCCATTTGACCTGGCCATTCCCCTGCTGGGTATCTTCCCCAAAAGAATTAAAAGAATCATTCCACAGTGATATATGTGCACCCATGTTTATAGTGGCACAGTTTATAATAGCTAAAATTTGGAAGCAGCCCAAGTGCCCATCAACTGGAGACTGGATAAAGAAAATGTGGTTCTCTTAGAAATATGGTTCTTTATGGAGTACTACTCAGCCATAAAGAATGAGAAACTAGAGACATTTATAGCTAAATGGATGCATATTGAGGCCATACTCTTAAGTGAAATAAATAGGACACACATGTGTAAATACTGAATAGTTTCTCTAGTGTGAGAAACTGAAAGTGTAAATAAGGACTAAAGTGATTAAAATGAGTAGTTGATAATTTGAAATAGGAAGAAAAGGCCCAAAGGGGTAGGGGTGGTGGGAGGGGAAGGGGAAAGGAAAGAAGGGAAAGAAAAAATTATGAGAAAAGAAAAAAATGGAAACAAAGTCTATGTAAATAGGGAAGGCTGGAGAGGGTGAAGGGCACACAGGTAATGGGGAAAAAATAAGAACCAAGATACATCATGTACAGGTACAAGCACCCAGTGATAAATGTAAACGTATTGTATACCTAAAATGTACCAATAAAAGAATTTAAGGAAAAAAATATATCTTTCTGAAAATACTATTTTTCTGAGATTTTTGGATCCTCAGAATCCATTAAAACTACCCTTTACTAACAATATAATTAAGTCATCCAAAACCCTCAGTTCTTTTATTGTTCTTCTAGATATTGGCAGTATGTCCATATCTTATCTTCTTATCTTTAAAATAATTTTCAGGATAGACAAATTGTTAGACTCTTTGTTTGAGACAGGGTCTCACTGTTAGTTCAAGCTGGCCTCGAACTCACAGCAACCCTCTTGCCTTGGCCTCCCAAGTGCTGGGATTATAGACTTGCACCACCACAACTAGCACAAGTAGACTCTTAGCTGTATTTTTTTTCTATTTGAAATTTTATGGAACAGGAAGGTGTTGTTTTAGAGTGCTACCAAATTCAGGTATCCTAATCTTAGAAAGGGTAATAATAAGAGGAAAGTAGCCATATATTTTTTAGAAATATGTTTTGTTTTTTACAAAGATTACATTCTGTAAAAATTTTTACAGAAATGATTGCAGTATAAAATTGAATTATTGTACATACTACTCTGAAACTTGCCCATTATAAGTGCTTTAACAGCCTCTCCTAGATGTCTTTCCGTATTAGTACATATATGTTCCATATTTTAAGGCTGTGAAATATTTCATTATATGGTTGTGCAGTAATTTATTTAATACTTTCTAATGCACATCTGCATTTCCAGTTTGTGTTATTACAAATAGTGCTTCAAAAACCATCATTGAAATTATATCATTTTTATTTGATAGTTTATAAGGATTAAATTTTTATAGATGAGATTGTAACACATCATAAAGTATAGATACTGCTAAATTGCTGTCTGAAAAGTTTGTGCTGGATTGCATTTTACCAGATATCAGTGAGGGAATCTATTTTTCTACACCCTCACAAACCCTAGATAAGCAGCCTTTAGATACTTGTGTTTGCCAATCTGGTAAGTTTAAAAATATCTTTCTTTAATTTCTTATTTTCTTTTTAATTTGTATTTCTTTCATCAATAAATTGGAGCACTTAGGCATTTTGAACTTGATCATTCATTTATGTTCATTTTCCGTATTCATGTGTAAGCATTCATGGTATATTAAGAGAGGTGTTAAATATTTACATAGAAGATTGATTGGTCTTTTCTTCATGTGGCTTCTGGAGTCTGTCTCAGCCAGAGAGACTTACTTCACTTTCAGAATGTTCCCACAGATTGTTGCTCAGTGAGGCAATAATCACTACTGTTTCAAGGCATAGATGCTGCTAGAATGATGGCATGATTCAGTGCTTTCTGCTCTATTATGCTTAAAATCTGTATGTATTACATTATTTATATATTTGTGTTAAGTCCTTTTTACAAATCTGAATTTTGTTTTGTAGATACCATTTTTTAAAGCTGGGAAACTTAATGCTTATATTGAAAAATATGAAGCTAAGGTAAGTTTTAAAAATAATAATTCCAGGTGTTGTTATATTGATTATGTGTTTAACTTTTGTCAGCCAACAAAAATTAGTGTATGTTTCTTATAAGTTTTTGTTATGCATGTGAAAGAACCCAACAATTTTTCCAAACAATTATTTTGTCCTCATTTAGTACAGTAAGAGAGGAAAAGGCTTGTTTTTGTTGGATACTTTATTATAGGAACTTCTTGTGGCATAATCTCATTTACCATATACATTTTTAAATAAATGAATTTCCTCGTTTTTACAGATTAAAAAAAATAAACTTGGAGAGATGGAATTATTGTCCAAAATTAGAGAGCCAGTATATGGAGAAATAAAACATTATAGGTTATAGTCCACATCATGATGAGCTTCTGGATTTTACCGATGGAAAAAAATGAATATGTGAAGTTAAGCACTTATTTATCTCAGCTAATCAAGTCATGGAGCATTGGCTAAAGCTCACTTTGTGCCTCTGCAGGTAGCTGTGTGACGCTGTGTATTACTGTTCTAGCAGCCTGTCCAGCCATCACTGCTGGCCCTGCTCCTAGATCTGCTAGGGCTCAAGACAGTGAGATTTCCAGTTATCTCAAAGATGAGATGCTACCTTCAGGTTCCAGGAGGGTAATGAGATTTTGCAATATCTGGAGGAGTTCTGCAGTTCCCTAAGAAATCTTTGAATGATCTGAAAGTTAATTTAGGCCCTCAAGAATCTTCTGGTAGAAAAAAATCCTTTCTTTTATAAGTTTTTAGAAGAGATTGTATTGAATTTTATTTCTTCAATAAATATTTGGCAGAATTCATCAGGAAAGCTATCTGGGCCTTACCTTAGCTACAATTTTAATTTCTTTAATAGGTATTCAAAATTATCAAAACTATTCAAAAATTATCTATTTCAAGAAAACTGATCATTCCATCCAGGTTGCTTTTTTTTTTTTGCTACCAGAGATCAAACTCCGGACCTTGTGCTTTCGAGGTAGGCTGCGGAATCACTGAGCTAAATCCCTGGCCCTGGGTTGCCAAATTTTATTGGCCTAAAGCTTGCTTATAATAGTCTCTTATTTTTCTTTGCTGTAGAATCTAAAGTGATGTCACCTCTCGTTCCTGATATTGCTCATGTGTGTCATGTTCTCTTGTTCTTTCTTTCTGCACTCCCCCCTTTTTTGGGGGGGTCTGGTGAGTCTAGAGATTTTGCGACTGAACTGATCATTTTAAGGGATGAGCTTCTGGTTTCATTTATTTTTCTCTGTTGTTTAACTGTTTTGTATTTCAGTGATTTTTGTTTTGGTCTTCATGATTTCTTCCACTTAGTTTAGTTTGCTCTTCTTTTTCTAGTTTCTTAGGGTGGAAGCTGAAGTCATTGATTTGAGAACTTTTTTTCTTTTCAAATGTAAAGCTATTTAGTGCCATTTCCTCTGAAGTAGGTGCCTTTTTAAAATTTTCTTCAGCTAGAAATGCTTTTTAATTCCTGTTTAACATTTTCTTTGATCTATGAGTTATTTAGAAGTATGTTATCTAGAATCCAAATATTTGAGGATTCTCCAAAGATCTTGATTTCTTCTTTAATTACTTTTAGATAATATGTTTTATATAACTTGAATTTTAAAATTTTATTGAGATTTGTTTATGGTCCAGAATATAATTTATCTCAGTAAATGTTTCTTCTGCCTTTGAGAAGAATGTATTTTCTGCCCCCCTTTTTTTTCTGGTTCCAGGGATTGAGCTCAGGACCTTATGCTTTCCAGACAGGTGCGCCACCACTGAACTACATCCCCAGCCATTCTGTTCATATTGTGTCAAGTATTCTGTAAATATTAATAGGACCACATTGGTTTGGTTGATCATGTTGTTAAGTCTACTATATTCTCACTCAATTTTTCTTTGTGTCAATTATTGAGAACAGTTTATTGAAATATCTACCTATAATTGTAGATTTGTCTGGTTCTCTTTAAAGTTCTGATATGGGAGAAATACAACTCCCAAACTGCTGGATGTCAGATGTGCCAAGTTCGTGTTCCCTGAATATCAAAGAATGAATTCCAAGGAACAGTGGAGGTTAAGAGAAAAGTTTATTGAGAGAGAGCTCCTAAGAGACAAGAGGGGTCCTGAAAGTGGGTTGCCATCAAGGCCCTTTGTCAGGGATAACTTATACAGTAAAGTCACAATATGGGTCCAATGTGGATCCAACTACAATCAACCTATAGGATTGATTAGCTGCTGAGCTAATATTGATCCAATAGGAAAATGAGTCATATAGCAAAGGTGTATGGAAAGAACAAAGGCGTTATGGGTCCAGATGCTCTGGTCACCCACATGGGTGAGTGATGCCTATCTGTACTTACTAGACCAGCTGGTGCTAATTACAATATAATATTATTGTTTATCCCTTAGGGAGGCCATTGCATCTTTATCTTGAGGCCTAGCTTTCTTCACATGTGCCTCCAGCCACAATTCTGATGTCTTTATTCTTGTGCTGACTTCTTTGAGAGCCCAGCCTCTCTCTGACTGTATATTAATTTCTACATAACTTAGATGCCTACAATAGTTCTATCAGTAGTATCAGACAGTCACAGAGATCTAAACACAATGAAACCATACTTGATATTTTGGGCCAGCTTTCTAGAGGGATAAATGATTTGTTCTTCATACTTACCCTGTGAGCAGTTTTTCCAGTAATGAAAATCACCCAGCAGAAAAGATGGAACAGAATCTGTCCTCAATATTAGCTGAAATGATAAATGAAATCATTTTCAGGTTATCAGCAGAGTTGGTGATAGATTATAGAATTGCCTCATACTTCCTTTTGGAATGTCAAGGCTGAATTTGTTCTAATATTTACTGCTATATTTGGAGTAATTCTTTGGGCCAAGGAGAAAATCAGCATTGAGGAAAAGCCACCTGGCTTTTTATAGTAGCCCCTGGTGGTTCTTAGGATCTATTTAGCTGATTGGGTTTAGGGCCCTGGAGCCATGATTGAGGTCATTATTGTAGATTGGCTTCATTCTGCTGCTTGTAGTCCTAGTGATGACAGCCTTAATTAAATTCTCTCTGAGACAAACTGAACATATTCTGCTAATAGATTAGTCAGATGTATCCTGGAAACTTTACTGAGAGCCAAAATGGTACAAAAATGAAGGGTAGAACTGGGGATGGTGGTGCACATCTGTGATCCCAGCAGATGAGGCTGATGCAGAATTGGCAAAAGTTTGAGGCCAAAGAACTACAAAGAGATCCTGTCTAACCCCTGCCCCCAAATGATGAGTGGATAATATTGGGAGACAGTTTTCCTTAGCTCTCTCACTTTTCTGCTGCCTTTCTCTCAGATGCAAGGACAACCTTGCATCCAGAGGAGACTCTGGGTGGTATTTTCAAGGATGTTTGTACAATAAACAGCCTTGATTCTTGTCCCACCCTTGGGAAGTTTCTTCACAGACACATGCTAATCCATATTCAGCCGGATGCTCCAGAGGGGTTCTACTGATCTCCGGAGTTTTCTCTCTGTGCACCTTTCTCCTGTCTCGTACTGTACCCAAAACTAGAAAACTGGCTTCTTTGACCTCTTTGGAATCCCAGGTCTGTCTTCTGAATTCAGGAGACTACTAGGGTTTTTTGTGTTCCCTCTCCCTGACTGCAGCCTAAAAACCCTCTCTAGTCAATGAGCTGGGGAAGTTACAATGAACATCTTGTTGGTTTCCCATTTCTTGGACTTCATTCATCTTTGTAGCCTGATGTCTAATATTCTATGAACCACTGTTTCAATATAGCTTGCCTAATTTTGTTGACATTTCAAAGGGAAGGATAAATCTGATTCCTATTACTGATTGGTCAGAAGTGAAAGTCCTGATTTTTAATATTAATTCTGTATGAATAGAGATATTCTTTTGTCACATGTAAGTATTTAACCATTTCTGATATTGAACTAGTGAAAATAATGAAAAATATGACAAGCTCACTCTGGCCTGAGTTCCTCCATGTGGAACAGAATGCAAAGTTGCGGGTCCTCAGCACAAGCTTTTGAGGTTTAGGCTTAATGAGCCAGTATAAGCAGATGAATTTGGCCATATAGCAGCAATAGTGATGGTTTCAGATTAAATATGCCTCCACACTTTTTGATTTTAGAAACAGATAGTATTAGCTATAAAAGCATCTAATTTCCATCCAGAATAGCCCAGTTTGTTGACTGATGATCTAAATATGCAGACATTTCCTATGAGTCAATAGAGAAATAGCAATTGCTCTAAGTTTGTTCATGTTTTGCTCTTTAATATTTTTTAGATGGAGGCTCCACAAAGAGTAATTCCTGTAATTCTTCAGAACTGCCTTTCGTATTCATTCATGGCTAGACTTGCTCCAGCCTGGAATAGAGCTGGACATCTCTTGGTACAAGGTGACTTTACATCTGTCAATCATTGGGATTTTTATAATAGATTACTCCTATTATGCACATATTTTTAATTTCAAGGTATCTTATTTTTAGGGAATAGTTCTTAGAACACCCCAACTAAATGTTCTTAAGCAGGCCTATAACATAAATGTCATCTTATTTTGGATTACATACATATACCTGCTGATGTTTAAGAAAATCCCTTTTTATTCTTTTAAATTTTTTCAGTACTGGAGATTGAACCCAGGGCCTTTGCACTGAGTATATCCCCACCCTTTTTATTTTTTTATTTTTATATTTTTATGAGACAGGGTCTTGCTAAATTGCCCAGGCTGTTCTCCAACTTGCAGTCTTACTGCCTCAGCCTTCCAGTGCACCAAGATTACCGGTGTATCCCACCATCCCTGGCTAAAAAACTTTTCATTGTATAATATTTGATCCTTAAAGATAAACATATTATGAAGTATTATGATAAAATGAACACCTGTTGTGTCGGTATTGCTGGAATCAAAGACCATCCTGAATTTTTGTTGAAATCTGATAGTTTCTAGGTATTTTATAGCAGGGGATAAATTCATGAGAGAAGAATTGGGTATTTTTATCTTCTTAATTGAAGAGATACTATTTCACTGATTGTATTTTTTTCTCTGAGTATCATAAGATATTCCTATATATAAGTTTATTTTATTTTCCTTTGCTTTGATAATTTCATATCAAAAAATTGTATTTATCAAGCATGATTATTTGAGTTAAAATATGGAATATTATGTGTTTTTAAGGAAGAGATTTTCTTTCTCAGATGGGAAAACAAAGTGCCATTGGTAAGTAAAAGTATAAAAGTCAATAGATAAGACATTGATATAATTAACAGTTTTTTAAAAACAATGTTATAGCCCATTGGGTTGTTTTACTATTAAAGGTTAAATTATATCATGATCTAATCAGACATTGTAATCAGAATTTTACTGGGAAATCACTTTTAGTTCAAAATATATACTTATCTATTTGAGAAAAATTTATCTGAATTGGAAAAAAAGCTATCTTTCATAGTCTACTTAAAATAATAATTATGAAAGGGTTTATTTCTGCAGGTATTTATAATGTATAGTTTCTAGAATCATAATCATTAAAATTTTTGTCAGTACTGATGTAAGTCAAAGCTTTATTTATTTATTTAATTTGTTTTTGTTTTTATTTATTTATTTTTGGGTACCGGGATCAAACTTGGGACCTTGTACTTGCAAGGCAAGTGGCCGGCATCACTGAGCTAAATCCCTGGTGTTTTTGTTTATTTTGAGACAGGGTCTTACTATGTATTTCAGGCTGGCCTTGAACTCACTATGTAGCCCAGGCTGGCCTCAAACGCATGGTGATCCTCCTGCTTCAACCTTCCAAGTACTGGGATTACATATGTGAGCCACAACACCTGGCTCAAGGCTTTATTTTTATGAATGTATTCTTTTTATCCTTAAAAAAGATTGTCTAAAGTAACATAGATAATCTAAAATACAGCATTTACTGTAAAGTCCAATCAGTTCTTTCATTGATTTGTATGGTTTGTATTGCAAATAGATAGTTTCCTAAACAGTATCCTTGGATAGCACAGAGTTGGGAATCCTAAGCCCAGAGTAGCCGTTATTAATCAGTTGTGATAGCTTTTCCTACCCTTTGGGCTTAGCCTATCCTGATATGTAATCCACACTGTTGGAGCTGAATAGAGTATCCAGCTGAAGGCTGGTTGGCCTACTAGCTTTAGTTTTATGATTCTGTTATACAGAGGCAGTCACTGAAATCTCTCAGGATGAAGGGGTTTGCTACTTAAATTTAGAGACCACTGCTAGATATTAAAAATAACAGTTTAGAAAACTAAAATTCCTCTTAGCTGTGTTAGAGATCTTTTTTTTTTTACTCTTATCAAAATGTCATACATTAAGGCAAAACTCAGAAACTCTAAATGTATACTCATTGAACTTTCACACACTAAGCATCCTTGCAACTGGTTCTCAGATTAAAAAAAAAACATTATAGTACTCCAGAAGCCCCCTAATGCTTTCGGTTTTCCACTGCTGGGACAAAGTACCTGACATACACAACTTAAAGAAGAAAATGTTTATTTTAACTCATGGTTTCAGAGATTTCAGTCCATGATGTTCTTGCTCCATTGTGTTAGGCCTGTGGCAAGGGAGAAACATCATGGCAGAAGGGCATTGTAGAGAAAAGCTGCTCACCTTATGGCAGGCTGGACACAGAGTGAAAGGGAAAGACCCCAAGAAAGAGGAGGGGGTTGAGGACAAGAACATATCCTTCAAAATGATATACTCAGTGATATACTTCCTCTCTCAGTGTTATACTTCCTCCAAGTGGGCTTTACCTCCTAATAGTTCATTCAGCTATGAACTCATCGGTGGGTTAGTCTCCTGATGAGGTTAGTACCCTTTTGATTCAGTCACTGCTCTAGGCCCCACCTCTGAACACCACTTCACTGGAGATCAAGCCCTCAATACTTGAGTCTTTGTAGAAACATTTCATATTTAAACCACAACAGCTTCCTTCGGATAAGATCCCTTCCCAAAGTCACCACTAAGTCACCATGAAAAAGTAAGGAAGTAGTTCCAGGGCTGTGGGAGATCTGCAACATATCTGCCAATATATTTGACGAAATTTGCTAATAAAAGACTACTGAAGTCAAGAGGCCTAGTGTGAGACCTTTTCTAACATGAGACGAGGACATCATCTATTTCTAATATATAATGGATGTCAGATTGATATAAGGTATTTGTTGATTTTTCTTCTTAACTGTAGGATGTCTTATTTTTTTATTATAATCCTGTCCTATGATTTCCCTTACACATATGCATTTTGTTTCATATCTTTGAATTTTAAATGTCTTATCTGTAGACTGTGAAATATTATATAGTAATTATTTAAATTTTACTCTCTATGTAGAAAAAAACGTTCTTCACTTAATTTCTAACAAGTAAATTAATTTTTATTAAAATACTCAGCTTGATAGAATAATTCCAGATAGTTCATATTAAAATTTTTTTTCAGTATTAGACATCAATGTAACAGAAGCTCAAGTTTGTCTAAGTATAGAAGTTTGCACTGTCAGACTGCCACCACCTGAGGTACCACATATTTGATTTCTATAATTTATTATATTTACTACATATTTAATATGTATTTCTTTTACTAATATGTTATTAGATTTCAATTTTCAACACAGTGATAGGAAGGTTTTTGTTATTGAAGGACATACTACTAAATGCTTGATATATTTATGTATATTGTTCTAAATCTTCTGAAAAGAAGATATTCTGTTCTTTTAACACAGGTCTTATCATATCCCTTATTAAAAATTTCTCAGTGGTATCGAAAATTCCACAACCTTACCCTGTCTCAGCGCCCACTTCCTGCCTCTTTTTCTAATCTCTAAATATTAAAAGCACAGTTTCAACTCCTACTAAATGTAATGTTTACCCCCACCCTTGTTTAATAGCATTTTTTCTATTTTTTATACATAATACTTTCCATATCCTTTGTAGAAGGTTATATCTTCTATTTTACTTTTTCCTGTGACATTTAGTATAGAACCTTTCTTACATATTAGTAGTCACACAGTAAATGTTATCTTTTTTACCCTGCATACTAGTAGTTCCCAACAGAAGGAGCTAGAAGGGGAAAATAACAGTTTCACTTCCCATGAATTACTTGCCAGTGTCTACAGACAGTCTGGTTTATCAAAATGAGGAAAGGATAATGTCACTACTGGTATCTAATGAGTAGAAGCCAAGGATTCTAATAAATTATCCTGCTGTGACACTTGATAGATAAATTAATAAACCAGACCATTCCCTCTAAGACCACTTAGGTAAATTAGTAAGCCTGTCCTTCTAGTCACCCACTCCAGGAAAAATTGGGGGGATGAATGGATGGTTGAGTGGCACAGACTAATTTCTATTTTGAAGTTGCTGGCTTTTGTTCCTAAATTCTATTCCTCTGAGCTACAAAATAGTTTTTAAAATCCTGATCTTTCATCCTACTTGATAAATTTTAAGACAGTTTATCATAATTCATAAGAAATGATATTTCAGGCCTTAGTTTTTTTTAGTCCATTCTCCCCTCCCCTCCCTATGTACAGAAGCTTTGTTTCCATTCTTTCCTTCTATTTTTACTTTTTTCCTTTGTCTCTTCCTTCCTTTCTCCCTCCCTCCTCCATTATTACCCTTCCCATTTGAACATTTTCTTCCCATTTCCCAATATCTATTATATACTTTGTCCTTATTTCCACTTTCAGTTTCTCACAATGTGGTATTTAAACATGTGTATCCGATTTATTTCACTTAAGAGTATGGTCTCAAGGTGCAGCCATTTAGCTAGAAATGTCTCAAGCTTATCCTTCTTTATGGCAGAGTAGTACTCCATTGTATAAAAAAAAAACCCACATCTTCCTTGTCCATTCATCTGTTGATGAGCATTTGGGCTGTTTCCAAGATTTAGCTATTACAAACTGCTGCTATAAACATGAGTTTGGCTCTTAGTTTTACAATTAAAACATTCAGAGAAGTATTTCAAACAATAATCTTCTGAGTTCTGAATTTTAGTGTTAAACTTTAAAATAGTATTTTTCTGGAAGTCATTTAAATGTTTAGGGAGGAACTTATATGCATAAACTGCTATTTTACCGGTTGATAAATTGAGATTATAATAGAATACACTGTTACATGAGGGATGTATTCCAGAAAACCATTTGTAATCTTAACTGTTTGCCTTGAAGAATTAATTACATGAAAAATTCGGGAATTGAGCACCTGGAAATAAATTTGTGTTTATTCTGTAGTTACCTATTCAGTGTGATTATGGTTATGTGCAAGGTGCTGATGGAAGTCATCATCTTTTCTCCTGAAAGTTTTTAATCTAGGTCAGAAGAAAAAGCACATACATGCAAATAATTAGAAATTGAAAACATTTACTGAACACTGGTTAATATTCACGCAACCTCAAAGAACAGTGTAGGCTTAGAATCACATTAAAATTCCCAGTTTTGCATTTAATAGCAGTGCTACTTTGGGGCTGTTACTAGATCTCCTGAATTACAACTTTCCTTGTAAATTGGAGATAATGATATCTGTCTTATAGGATTGTGAGGAAATGAATGGAATAAAGTACATTATTAAGTGATTCACAGAGCATGTGATATAAAAGTTCAAATATGATGGCTATATTATTGTTTTATAAGTAAATGAATTAAAACATTAGTTAAATAATTGCTGTAGATCATAAAGGTAGTAACAGATTCAGTATTTACGGTTTGTCCTTTAACTCTGTTCCTTTTACTGTATTATACTTTCTTCATTTATATAGTTTGTCTTAGTTACTTTTCTTGTTGCTGAGACAAAATATCTGACACCCAAAGTTATAAGGAAAAAGGTTTATTTAGCTCACAGTTTGTAGAGGTTTCAGTCCACAACTGGCTGGCTCCGAGGCAGGGCTTGGCAGAGGGGCAACAGTTCATGGCAGTGGAAAACAGGAAAAGCAACAAGGGACCTTAAGAGCATCTTTCTGCCCCTCTTATCTTATCCAGACTACTGGGATTAGGGTGGTGCCAGACCAATCAGTGTACTAGTTTAATAATCACACACCCTTAATCCCAGTATCAAAGACTCTAGATTCAGCCACTTCTGAAAAATCCACCTATCACCACATGAGGCCTTGGGGGAACATCAAGACCCAAACCATAGTATGGTCTTTGGTTCCAATTTGTATGTCCCACAGTTTTTTGTTTATTTGTTGTTTTTCTGCGGCACTGGAGACTGAACCCAGGGCCTTACACTGAGCTACATCATTAGCCCTTTTTATATTTCTATTTTAAGGTAGTGTTTTGCTAAGTCATTAAGTTTCCTAGGCTGGGCTCGAATTTGCCATCCTCTTTTCTCAGCCTCCCAGAGTGTTGGGATTACAGGTGTTCACCACCACACCCAGCTCCCATATATGTAATAAAAATAGAGTTAAATGACAGTGTTTTGCAGTGTAGAGTGAAGTTTTATAGGAACTGTATTACTTTTGGGTTTCAGATAAAAAGGAGGTGTCTAAGGGATTTTTATCTTTGAAATCATTTGAACCGTTGCACTATATTCTACCATTTTATTCTTCAAATCATTTCCTTTCTTGATTTCTCAGAAGTGACTTCTTTTGTAGAATCTTCTACCATTTGTTCATAGTTCTTTGTCTTAAACTAATTAGATGTTGCTGTTTTGTATAGTTCAGTTTTCAGACCTCTTATCTTATTTTTAGCAGGTTTAACCACCCCAGTGGCTTCAGCCTACCCACCAATACCTCCCATGTATTCTTACATAATTACAAGTTCTTGATGGGGACTGGCTGAGGAGTGAATGGTTAAACTGCATGGCAAAAGCACACAGGATCTGTGAGGAGAGAATGGTTAAACAGCAAGAAGTTTAAATTGGTGAAGCATGCTGTATTTGGCTGTTGTCCTTTCCATTTTCCCAAGGAAACTGCCTAGACTTGAGACAGTCCTTTACCCAAACTGCTTTTCTTCTGTTTTTTTCTCTTACACTGCTATTCTAAATAAAAGCCTGAGAGTTCTCAGCTTCAGTGCTACTCCTGGGAGTCTCCCTAACACTGGGTGCTCTCAGTTGAGACAGCCCCTCTGGTCCTCTTGGTGACTGAACTACATTTTCTCTGAGTGATCTTTCATTCTGTATGCCACTATGGTCATACACTGCAACAGGTTTTCTCTTGGCTACTTTCACAGGAGTTATACCAATACTAAAAGTCAGTTATGTCTAAAACTGACTCTCAGCCCCAAATCTGTTCCTCCTTTGTGTTACTCTTTTGGCTTCTGGACTGGCATCAAAAGCTAATAAATTGCATTCCTAGAGACTTCAGAGTCAACTTTGGCTCTTCACCTAACTTATGTCCTCTATCCATTTTGTCTTTAATAGCCAATTTGTTCTCTGTAACTGGTTCCTCTCTGTCTCCATTTCCATTGCTCCAATTAAAACCCCATTCCTTTGCCTCCAACCATTCAACCAGTCTCTATACAGGCCTCCTTAGTACCTGTCTTCCCCCTTTAGTTTATCCTTTAATTCTTCCTCAGAGTGTCAACAGAATTCTCTTTCTAAATCAAATGTTCCCAACCTAAATATCTCTGTATCCCAACATTGCCTGGAAAATTAAGTCCAAATTTTTTACATTGGCATTATAAAAAGAGGAGGATTTATTTTGTACTTTCTTACCAATATGGTTTTAGTCACGTAAGGATACTTTATAAATATTTGTTAAGTAAATAAATACAAGGCGTTAGCATTCTCTTGGGGTGTGTGGTGAATAGTTGGGTAGCTTGTCAGCCTTTAGAATAACCTGGATTGAGAAACACTAGTGTAAATAAGTGCTCGTATTATGAGTATCCCAGAAGCAGTTGCTTGAGTCTCTGAATAGTGTTGAAAATATTCAGAAGACATAAACTCAAGCTATGTTGTTGTGGCAGAGTGGAACAGCTTAGTGCCATAGCCAAGTCTTACAGCTTAGTGTCACAGCCAAGTGCCACAGCTATGAGGCACAGCTGAGTGTTACAGCTGAGTGTTACAGCTCCAGGTTGAGCTTATCACAATTTGAAGATTCAAGAATCCAATGGCCCCTTGAAAAGGTGGAGAAAAACTTTTATTATGCTGGCAGGCTCAGAGGAGTTCATACTCTGAAGTCTGAGAGCTCTACCAGAAATGAGAGTCTCCTTATATAGGGATCTACAGAGGAGGTGAGCATGCTCACTGAAGCAGAGGGGGCAGAGCTACAGAACATTCCTAAAACACATGCCATGTGAGTATGCTCACTGAAGCAGAGGGCTGTAGTTACAGAACATTCTTCCAAGGGGGCACAGCTTAACAAAACATTTTTGTAAAGGGGCAGAGCTTAACATTGTTGTAAGGGGCAGGCTTAACAAAACATTCTTGTAAGGGGTGGGGTTAACAGTCTCATAAGGAGGTGGAGCTTACAGAACATTCCTGAGGGGCTGAGGCAGCAGAACATTCAAACAGTTACAAAACATTTTGATACTTGTGCAGGAGTATTGCTGAGCAGCACAAACTGTTACATTTCTAGAACAAAA